AGTTAAAGTAGAATTATGTGAACAATCGTCTAGAGCAATGATCTTATTTAGTTATTGTTTGTTTGTTGGGTTATATGTGCTGTGTCCACCAGGAGTATCGACACTCGGTTTAAAGCAGTGTAATTTCGCAGACTTATCGCTGAGCCACTAGGGGGCCTATTGTTATTGTCGTTGTAGCCTTTCTCTTTAATCAAGTGAGATAAGAATGTTTCATGCTTTCGGTGTTTCACAGGAAAGTAAAGTAAGTAAAAAAAGTTTATCTCGATGTTAACGTTGGATGACGTATTAATTTTTTTCTTTTGGGATTTCATTCTACAATTGCTCTTTTTTTTGCTTTTCTTAATATTGTTAACTGTTTAGATATTAATGATAAAGTCAGAAGTGTTTGTTTGTTTTTGTTTAAGCCCAAAGCAGAAAAATGATATATTTTAGCGTTATATCATCTGAAACGTACCATTTGAGTTAGCTCTGTTAATACCTTATGTATGTATGTATTAGAAGAGTTCCTACTAAACACCGTAAATCATATCAGATTTCTAGTATTTTTAGAAAGAGTGCTGAAAAGAGTTGTGGATTTATTTTACGTTTTTACAGAGTGTGAGTTATTTTCTGGGTCATTCGCAAGAAATGTACCTTTTTCTAAACACTTTTGTGTCGAGTTTAAAAGTTTCTAGTAGGTGCATCTCGTTGGCTCAGTGGTAAGTTTGATGGCTTATAACGCTAAAAATCTGGTTTCGATACCTGTAGTGGACAGAGTACAGACAATCCATTGTATCTTTGTTCTTAACAACGAACAAAACCAGTATTAGTGTTTGTATTGAATGTGGGTTTCATATTTTCTTCTGGCTAGGACTGTTTCTAATTGTAATCAGACTTACAAGTATTTTAAGATCATTGAAGCCTAAGATCCCGAACAATAAGATTTACTGTTAAGTAATCATTATACATTAAAGAGTATTTTCAGAACTTTTCATTTAAAACGCAATAAGCTTTTAAAACTGTAAAACCTCTAAAGTGAATCCGTGGGCTCCAGTAAGGTATAATAATTAAGTTTTAGAAACGAGATTGGCCAGAATTTTCATTATACACATCCATTCAGTTGTTTCTAATATATTATGTTTTCCTTCTAGTTACTTTAAAGCTGTTTGATAAGGTCAGTTGATCTAAACGCCAGATTTAGCCCATATATAACAGATTTATAAATGTATTTCACTTTAACTGTAGCTGAACATCGAAGATTATAGCTCACTAACACACATATCTTGGATTTCCATTTCTAAACTTATTGTTGTTTTAACAAAAGTATTCAGATAAAAGAGGTAAATTTTACCTTTTGTTCATGAGATTATTTTGTTTTATATTTATGGACATTACTCACATCAGTGTTTGTATGTTTCTTAGGCACATAAACAATCTAAAATAAAATGTCATTATTTAAAAAAATATGCAATGTTACATTAAGTTTATCCACGCTTTCAATTAGGTCTATATATGAACGTTTGTAAACTCAATTCTTGTTGATTTCAAACATATAACTAATTGGACATCAGTGGTTTGAAAAATGGCATTAAGAATATATACATATATATATACCTTGTGCCTGAAAACTAAAAAGCTTCTTTTTTGTATCCATTGCTTTTATAATTTCAACGGAAATCAAATAAGAACAAATTATCCAGGCCGTACTTCTCTCATTTTTACTGAAAACTGTTTCATAACTTAACGAAAACTACACATAGGCTATGTATTCATAGCCCTCACTAATTCTGAAATGATAGACGAGAAAGAAGGCAGCTTATTAACAACATCCACCGCCAACTCTCTGGCTACTTTAATCTGACACTAAAGTACTGAGCGAGATTTTTCTTTTCTTTTTGTTATAACGGATGAGAAACATGGAACCTCGGGTCCACATCCTCAGTAGGATGACGTACTTTACTGAAGTTTGGTGATAAATTCTGGAGCTTCTTAAACATATATTGCTTAAATTCTGCAGCTGCCTCCATGTGGCTCAGGGGCAAGTCTGCAGGCTTACAACGCAAAATTCGGGTTTCTATATTAGTGATGGCTAAAGTATTATGTTTAACAACGACCAAACCAAACTTCTGCAGCTTGCACACAGGGTCGTCTATGCTTTTACTTAAACAAAAAGTTTCCCTTCTTATCATCCTACAAAAATCAAAATAGCGAATGCTGGAGGAGCCCAAAAATTTATCCTAAATAAGTTTTGGATACTGGATGGCTGTAAAGTGTGCGCTATATGTATGTATATCAAGGTGAATTACGTACCTGGGATTAGTAAACCTAAAAATGGCAGCTATTTGTGAGTGCTACTAATAGAGGAATGAATGTGACATCTCAAAACAAAAATTATAACATGAAGTCATAAATAACCAGTTTTATTGGCTTTCAAACTAAAGGGTATGTAGCAAAAACCACAACATTATAACAAATGTAGAAAAAAAATGTTCCCCACAGGGATCTAAACTTGAAGTCTGATAGGTCCTTACAATATCATAGGAAAAGGAATAAACCGGATACAGATTTTAAATATCATGACGATGAACCCACTTTTTAGAAAATTAAAGTTTATAGACGGCTAGAATGGGTAACGAAGAAAAATGTACAACGTTTTGACAAGATGGTGACATAATCTTGCCAAAACTTTGTGCACTTATAATAAGGTTTTCTTCATTACCCATTCAAGCCGCCTCTAAACTCATATTAAACTGGATATAGTTTTAAGTTTGTTTCTAACATCCATCAATTTAGAAAATGGATTGCCAAAAACAAACAAGTAAGATAAAGAAACATATGAATCAAAAACGAAAAAAAACAAACAAAAGACAACAAAAACTAAGCTCGTGTTTTTATTAATTCCACCAATAATATAGTTTCAATTACATAATTAGTTTTAGAAGAACTGTTAATGTATTTAATTCGTTTGTAGACATAACTTTAATCTACTGTAGGAAGTCTCTTTAATCTCTATTATCCTTCAAATAATCCTTTTAGGATGAGATTACGATATATTATTGTTTGTGACTGTGACTGATGATTTAGCCCTAAAATTGTTTAATATTATTTGTAGTCTATATCAGCAGATAAATCTATTTCAGGAAGTAAATCTGAACTACAATTTACAGTAAAATTGCCTCTTTACTTAAAGAAGACAAGGATTGATCCCAGTTTCAGCTTTAAAAGATGATTATTTACAAATAAAACCACTTCGATAATTACAGTTTGATAGCTAAACGATATTGAGAGATCACTTACAGTACATCTAACATATTATAATCCATTTGTTTTTCTCTATCACCTGTTTTGTATAGTATTTTAACTTAATAGATTCCCTGGGCTATGAATATTGACTATTGTAATATACGTTATAAAGCATCCAATTTAAATACCCAGATGGAAAATAAACGAACTGCTTAAGATTATTAGACACAATATATATATATATATATACCGTTAATGTTAATATTTCAACTGCCTGCTTTAAATTATGCTAATCAAACAACAATATCAATTTACGTAGAACAATTGAAATTAGAGGAACGTGCAAAAATTTGCTTAAATTTATTGAATTTAATGCTGGGAATCGAATCCCGAATCTTAGCGTTGTAAGTCATAAAACTTACCACTGACCCACCGATGTATCATAGAGCTATTCTCAATCTCACCTAAAACCAAACATTTATCCCACACATAATCACAAACACTTTACACACATTTACATGTACATAAAAAGGGGGGTATTTACAGCATATAGATGACACACTACTGACTAAGTAAGATTTCAATAAAAACACTAACCATAAACATCCATTCAGTATCAGCTGTAGAAAATAAACATCAAATGATTCTAAAGTTAACGTTTATAGTCAGAGGCCGGGTGTGTCTTATGGTTAGCGTGTTCGTACCGTGAATAAGAGAGTTTATGGTTCGTGGCCCGTTGCTGCAAGAACGCACTTTGTACTTTGAGTAAGACTGACGGCTAATTCGCAATGCATTATTCGATAAGACAAGAGTAGCTCAGGCGTTGGCGGTATGTGTTGTTGACTAACTGCCTTCTCTCTGTAATCTTTCAGTCAGAACTTATGAACAGCTATGGTAAATTAATCTATGTGTAGCTTTGAGTGAAACTTCTGAAATAACAAAATAAAAATCTATGTTAGTCTGTTTATTATGTATTATAGTCTTGGATTACTCTCAAAATTCCTGTATTACAACCGTGTTTGTTTCCATCCTGTTTATTATGTATGAGGAGGAATAGCCTTCGATTACTCTCAAAATTCCTGTATTACAACCGTGTTTGTTTCCATGCATACGTGTTTATCTTAAATTCGAAACAAACAGGTTTCTAAAGAGGACGCTTTATCTAACTCAGAGATAAGTGTAAAAGTGTATTTTTATTGAGGATGTTCATAACTTACTGTATTCCAACTAAGTAGTTTCAATTTTTTTTTAATACTCCAAATGAAGTGGGTGTTGTTGGTGACTACCTAGCTCACCCACCGTTATTATCGTTTCTGATGACACGTAAATAAGAAGAAACAAACAGTTCTTAATAAAGTAAGTGGAAAAAGTATAAAATTACATTTAAGGATTATACTTATTTCTTTTTAATACTACTAAAATGTGTTTTTTTGTTTTTGTTTTAAGATATATTTCCGGAAATTATTTAGCTTGACATTTTCTCGAACGAAGAATATAATCCAATGTTATTTTGAAAATTGAAAGAAAAACTTATATTAAATCTTAAACTACGAAAGTAAAACTACTGGAATTTGCCAGATTCGTAATTACCATCCCATTCACGTGCCTACCAGACCAAACGCTATTGGACGCCGTATGTCAGAAATCGGTAATCTATTGGTTAAACTCGATTTTCGTTGTCGTGACGTAAATCACAACTTTTTATGTTTGCCTACTATCTTCTATAAACTTGAAATACTCGCGTTGAAAGATATAAATATCAAACCTCAAGACAAATTTCTTCAGTACCTCTGATTCTAAATCGTCTATTTCTGCATCTGACAGACTGATTCAGAAGTGAAAAATCACTAATTATTTTGTGGTTTCAAAAGTAATAAACCTTCTTCTATTGTTATCAAGATTTTGATCTATCTATATAACTGAAAATGAGTCTCAAAACACAGACCTTCAAAATTTTTTCAATTCCCCTATCAGTATTTTTTCTACTTCTTCTCGTTTCCGATCCCAGCTTGATCCTCGCCCGACCATCATATGAAGACGTTTCGAACATCGCCAACACTCTGCGATACTTAGAGTCCTTGGAAAAATATTACTCTCAGATTGCTCGACCTAGGTAAGATTATCAGCTAATAGAACAATGAAAATAAACACTCTGTTGTTAATTATACATTTTTTAAGTTAAAAAAAAAAGATCCAGTGTTGATGTGAATAGTTATAATAATTTCAAGGCAAGGTTGTCAGATAATACACGTAATAGAAGTAAAGACCCATAGTTGCTCTGAATATTTACATATTCCTTAAGGTAAGGTTGACACATAATACACATAACGGAAGTAAAGACCCATATTGCTCTGATTATTTACATATTATTTAATGTAAGGTTGTCAGATAATACACGTAACAGAAGCAAAGACCCATAGTTGCTCTGAATATTTACACATTCCTTAAGGTAAGGTTGACATATAATACACATAACGGAAGTAAAGACCCATATTGCTCTGATTATTTACATATTATTTAATGTAAGGTTGTCAGATAATACACATAACAGAAGCAAAGACCCATAGTTGCTGTGACTAGTTACACATTCTTTTAGTTAAGGTTGTCAGATAATACATATAACGGAATAATGCTTGGAGACGGCTTGAATGGGCAATTTACAACGTTTCGACAAGGTTTTGTCATCATCAGATACAAGTAGTTTATAATGACACAGATATATATATATATATAGTATGAAACAAAGAGGTCACATTACCGGACACTGCTGCATGACTTA